TTGTTTTGTTTTGTTTTTGATACTAGGCCTCCCAGTCTCACCCAGGATGAAGTGCAGCATCTGCTCTTGGGCTATGCCCACTGTGATCAGCTCAGAAGTTCTGTCTAGATCTACTTTTGACCTGGGCTGGTTCATCCTTCCTTAGGCAGCCTTATGGGGACCTGGTAATGGGGCCCATATTAGTGTCAGACCTAGTGCAGGCAAATGATCAACTTTAGTCCTACTGAAGTTCAGAGCTCCCAAGTCCAAGGAATCCACCAGCCTCAGCCTCCCTGGTGTCCAAGCATGTGCCACCAATCCCAGCTCTAGCAGTCCTTCTAGGAGCCCCCAAGCCCTGACATTCTTTCTTCTCTGTTCTAAGGCCCCTCCCAGGCCAAATATTTTGATGCTCTCTTACAATAACAAGGCCAACCAATAATTATTTATCGAATGCCTTGCTGTGGTTAGCACTATGGTAGGAATTGTAGGATACGTCATTGCATTGAGGAGACCATTCATATTCGAGAAGAACCTAGATAATTGTATAATCCAAGCCTGGCCAATGTGGTAATACCTGTCAGCATTGTAGGAATTCCTTGGATGGGAACTTGAACCTCTGCTGGACTTGGCAGAGAAAGCCTTGTGTCAAAAAATGGGTTATGAGCTAATCTTTGAAGGAAGTGTGATATTTCAAGAGCAGTAGAAGAGTTGGGACAATTCCAAATGGGGACAATGGGTAAGGTTGGATATTCCCAAGAGGGACAACTAAAGGAGAGAAAGTAGAGAAGTGAGGAAGAAACTCCATTTGTGGAGGAGACAGTGAAGGAAATAGCCAGGTCCAGCTGAAGTGTTGGTAAGGAATAAGAGAGACAACCTGATAGGTCAGAAAGGATCATTTGATAATGTTATGTAAGAGCCACAGGTTCTTACCCCAGGATCCACAGACCTCCATGGAGTCTGTGGGTAGATTTTGGGGGTCATGAACTTGCATGGGAAAAATATTACTTCTTTATTTTCAGTGACTTCTAACTGAAATTTAGTATTTCCTTGAATTATGAATTTTTAAAAAATGGTTCTGGGAAGGAATCTATTCACCAGATTGCCATAAGGGCCCTTGGCCCCAAAAAAAGATTTAGAAGCTTTGCTTAAAAGAATGCCAAACAGGGACAGCTAGGTGCCTCAGTGGATAGAATACCAGTTCTGGAGTCAGGAGGACCTGAGTTCAAATCCAGCCTCAGACATTCACTAACTGTGACCCTGGGCAAGTTTCTGAACCCCCATTACCCTTCATCCCCCCCAAAAAAGAGTGCTAGACTTGGAGTCAAGAAAACTTGAATTCAGATCCCACCTCTGACATTTACCAGCTCTGTGACCTTGGGCAAGTCACTTGACTTGGGCATCTCAGTTTCCTCATCTGTAAAATGGGGATAATAATTACAGCTCTTCTCAAGTTGTTTGTGAGGTTCACATGAGATAATGTGTATAATGAGGAATAGTTGAAAACTATTTAATTGCTACATGATTGTAAATGATGATAATTGTAAACCTTAAGTTGCTATACAAATGGCTTTGTTTTGAGGTATGAGTGGGATCTGAATAACCTGTGATTTCATCAATATAGTGGAGAAATTTCCTCAATTGAAACTTATCAGCAATTTGTAATTACATTGTCTCAAAGAACTACTTGGCTTTGTTGACATGCCCAAAGTCACAGAGCTAGCTAGAAAGGGATAGAAACATAATTTGAACCCAGGTCTTTCTGGCTGAATTCAGGGCTCTTGATTTCCCATGCAGCCTTTTCACCCCAACATTACCATTACAATCATTAATGTTCAAGCTTTGAAACACAACCTAGATGGTTGCTGGCAACATCAGGCAGGATGTTTGGTCCAGACCTGAGACATCACTGATATCGACAACTCCCAGTGTGGATGTTTCCTCCTCCATCTCGTCACTTTTAGTCCTAGGGAGTCCATGAGAGCTGAAGCAGGGCCACACAGCTAGTAGATAACAGTGGCAGGATTTGAATCCAGGCCATCCTGGTACTCTATCCATTATACCACACTGCTACCCTATGCTGAATGGACTGGCTGGAGAACTTTGGTTTTTGAAAAACAGAAACAGCTTGTAACTCAGAGTCTTCTTCTCTTGTGGAGAATCTCCAAGGACTTTGCCCTCGCCACTCTAGGCTAGTCCAAACCAGAACTAACCAGGGCTGCTGTCCATCTCCAGACCTTGGTGTCATGGCGTCTTCCTCTGCGTAGAATGCCTTTCTCTCTTTGTCTATTTAATGCTTATCCATCCTTTAAAGCCCAATTCAAACACCTCTCCCTTCCACGAGGACATCACTGATCTCCCCTCTTCCTAAAAAGCTTCCTACTGAATTCTCACACTTTGTGGAGAACCTCCTTAATTCACTTATTTTACAATACTGAGTATAAGAATTATGTTTGTGTCTTTTTTCCTTACTAGACTGAGCTCCATGAAAATAGGAACTTGGCCTTTTTATTCTGTAATCCCTTCCCCACAATAGCCACCTGATAAATGGTTGTTGAATGAATGAATGAAAGAGACATTCTCTGAAAGCAGGATTTCTTTTTTAAAAGTTTGAGTGAATGAATAAATGATGCATAACACGCTGTGAGCTGAACTCCTTTTTAACCAAGTATGAATGAATGAATGAATGAACAAATGAATGCGAATGAATAAATGGTTGCATAACACTCTGTGAGCAGAATTCTTTTTTAACCAAGTCTGAATGAATGAGTGAACAATGAATGTGAATGAATAAAGGGTTACATAACACTCTGTGAGCAGAACTTCTTCTTTAAAAAGTTTGAATGAATGAATGTGAATAAATAAATGATATATAATACTTGGGAAATAGTGTTTCTTTTTAACAAAGTCCGAATGAATGAATGTGATATAATTCTTTGGGAACAGTGCCCCCTTTAGCAAAGTTTGAATGAATGTGAGTGAATAAATGATACATAACACTCTGGGAGCAGAACTCCTTTTTAACTGTCTGAATGAATGAATGAACCAATGAATGTGAATGAATAAATGATACACAACACTGTGAACAGAACTCCTTTTTAACTAAGTCTGAATGAATGAATGAATGAACCAGTGAATGTGAATGAATAAATGATACACAACACTCTGTGAAC